AGCATATATAATAAATAAAAAATATTTTCAGCTTTTAGATATAAGGATTTCCAGAGCACTGTGGGTTAGAGAGACTCGGCAGACGCCTACATTGGGGCTTTGTTTGTCTGACTAAGCCATGCAATAAAGGACGAGTTACCAAAATTAATGTTTTACACAAGTGTAAAAAAAACACGGCTGCAAAGCTAGCAACTGAAGTGTAGATGTCGTACCAATATACTGAGGGACATTAGACTTTTCATGAATCACCAGGACATTGCACCATCTGATGTTTAGGGCCACACAGGTTTCCCCTTTTTCTGACTGAAGTAGTAATAAAAACAAGTCGGTATGTATAATGTATGTGACTTCTTTAAACATAAATATATATTACTGTGCAAAAGTTTTAGGTGGGTGTGAAAAAATGCTGTCACGTGTTTTAGTTTTTATCAATTAACAAAATGGGTGGTAAATGAAAAGAAATCCAAATCAATATTTGGTGTGACCACCCTTTGCCTTCAAAACAGCATCCGTTCCTCTAGGTAGACTTGGGCACAGATTGTGAAGGAACACGGCAGGTAGCTTGTTCCAAACATCTTAGAGAACTAACCACAGATCTTCTGTGGATTGTCGGCTGCCTAAAATCCTTCGGTCTCCATGTAATCCAAGACAAACTGTTAAGATCAGCGTTCTGTGGCGGCCAAACCATCAATTCTGCACTCCTCATTCTTCTTTACGCTTAAGATAGTTCTTAATGGCATCGGGTCCAAACGCACACCTCTCTGATGGTATGGCATGATGGATAGGTACACACTTGTATTTCTCAGCATTGAGGACATCATTCATCTTGACCAAATCTCCAACTCCATTGGTAGAAATGCAGCCGCAGACTGCAAGGAGCCTCCACCATGCTTCACTGTTGCTGCAGGCACTCATTGTACCGCTCTCCAGCCCTTCAGTGAACAAACTGCCTCCTGCTACAGCCAAATAGTTCACATTTTGTTGACTCCTCCAGGGCACCTGCTGCCACTTTTCTGCACCCCAGTTCCTGTGTTTGTGTGCATAGTTGAGTCGCTTAGCCTTGTTTCCACGTCTGAGGTATGGCGTTTTGGCCACAATTCTTCCTTGAAGATCACTTCTGGGCAGACTTCTCCGGGCAGTAGTAGTGTACTGGGTCCTACTGGTTTCCGCCAGTTTGGTGTTGATGGCACTGCTGGACATCATGTCAAAGGGAAGTAAGCGTGATGCTGGAACGGCTATTGAACTACAAAGGAGCTTGAACAGCACATCTGGAAACCCCAGTCTGACACTTGTCACATTTCCCATTATAAAAACCAGCCTGCTTTATACTGGTTGTGTACAGGTCTTTTATATTGTGCATGTGTTAGTGTAGCACTGCCTTGCTTCCACTTTATTACTCATTTTCTTGTCCATTTTAAAGTGAGCTATTCTAATGTTTTGCTATGTAGCATTATCTTATTTCAGAGTCTGTCTAAATTTATACTGCACACTCATGCCTCGTGTGACTGGCTTCCGTTGTAGGACACTGTGTACTTGGGGACAGTGGCATATGTCCAGTGCATTTGGATGCTGAATTCAAGTGAGATTTCCAATCAAAAACTTTTCCATTTCATTGAAATGCTCCTAGACTAGAAAAGTAGACATGTTGAGGCTAATATAGATTCACTTTTACTTATCCAATCATGTGTAAAGTGAATTCATTGGTATTTCATCTCCACATGATCAGGTATTTAAAGGAAAACCATCTTTCATTTTAAGGAGTCATTCCATAGCTTGCCATTATTTAAAAGGGGGAAAAAATCAGTTTTCTGTTCATAGTCTTTTTTTCCCCTAAATTCTATGTTGGACATCTGTGGCTTTGATCATTGCTATCAGTATATGAAATTGGGAATGTTGTAGGTAATCTTGCCTGTCTTAATCGGACGCTAAACTCAGGAGATAAATCTTATACATTTCAAGTCCGACAGTCGGCTCTACAAGTTTAAACAGAGTCCCAGCGGCAAAAGTCGCCGGGAGTCTGTTTAAACAGCCCCGATGCTGGCGACGTACACTGTACGTCGTCAGTCACGAAGGGGTTAAAAGAGAGCTATGGGGTAAGTGTTTTTCCCCATAGTTCTCGCAGGGGTGGCCAAACACCAGCTGTGGTGAAAACTACAAATCCCATGATGCATCTCCGGGAGTCATGTCTGTGGCTGAGAATCTTGCAATGTCTCATGGGATTTGTAGTTCCACCACAGCTGGAATGTCAGTTTGGCCACCCCTGCTTTAGGGTCAAGGGAGGACATATACTAACTTCCTCCCGTGACCCAAAGCTCAGTATATCGCTGGCTTTTGCCTGCGATATGCTGAGCGCCACAGCCAGGATTGATTCTGACAATACTGTCTCTGGATCCACCCAGCTGGCTGATTGACAGTGGGCTCTGCCTGTCTAGAGGCAGAGCCAGCTGTGCCCTCCCCTGTTCGTTCCTCCCTTCAGTGCTGGAAGATCGGGGAGCGGTGACTGACAAGGAGACAATCAAGAAGTGAGCGGATCGGCGGCATGTTCCTGCTCACTTCCCAATCAATAGAGCCGACCTGTGACAGCTTCTTTGTCACAGGTCGGCTCTAACTGAGTGGAAATCACTCGCCTCATAGCTCTCCTTTTAACAACTAAAATGTATCTTATTTGTGTATCACTCGCTGTAGATCCTCCAATCATCTCTGAATTTGTGCTTTCTGGAGGGTGGCTACTTTTATTCCCCATGGTCCGTGTGCTTTTTGTGAAGTACAGTCCATGTACCCATTGCACTCCTGACCGCACGTCCAACAAAGTATCCTGGGTGCTCAGTAGTCGACGGATGGACCCCGTCAAAGTAATGCAGAAAAGAGATAGACACAGGCACTCCAATAGTAAATCGATTACGTCTATTTATTGACGTACATCAAAAGCAAAATAACACACTTAGTGCGACGTTTCGGGGACACACAGGAACCCCTTCATCAGGCAAAACAATTTAAGTGTGTTATTTTGCTTTTGATGTACGTCAATAAATAGACGTAATCGATTTACTATTGGAGTGCCGGTGTCTATTTTCTTTTTGTGAAGTAGTCACCACTCCCAGCTCGCTCCTGTGATGGACTACAATCTCATGTTTAGCTTACTATTTGTATTGCACTCTATGAAATACTTATACAAAATACACCCTTTGCTTTATTTGGCTAATGTAAAAACACAAGTGGGCGTTATTACTTCACTGAAATAAAGCATTTCTAGAAACCATTGCAATCCAGTTTTAAAACCTTTTATCCTATGCTGTTTGAACTTTTATCTCTATGCAGGTATCTGAATGTTTGTTTTCAGGGAGTGATGTGTATTTGACTAAGTCTAGTAGCAGAGGCAACTACAATATGTTTCCCTATAATGAATGTTAGCTTAGATAACGGCACGCTCTGTCTGGTCTGATTGTGCAACCATTATGCCTGTTAGTGTAATCTTCATGGGAATGTTTTAAAGCATTAGTATTTTAGTGCTTTACAATTATTGGTAAAAAAAATGTTCAGTTATTAATAAAGGTCTCTGTTCACGGCAGAGGTGTTTCTAGTTCATACCAAAACATGGACTGGCCACATTGTGACATGGCAAATGAAAGGTGTGCGGGGAGGCTTTATTGATTGTGTGTGGTGGGGGTTTTTTTCTGTTTACAAGCCACATGAAGGGTCAAAATGCCCAAATACACAATTGTTTTTTGTATTCTTAAAGACGCGTTGCGTAGACTCATATTGACAATCTTCTTGTGTGTTTTGCATAACGATTGTACAGTGCTGCAAAATATTTTTGTGCTATATAAATTGTAATTACAGAAAAATGCAAAAAGTCTGTATTTTTCCCTAATGTGGTCATATGGTGTGAATACGGCACATTTGTGGGGGGTGTTTTGTGTTGACAATCTCAGCTCGGGGAGTCTGGTGTAAACAAACCCTGAAGGTTTGAGGCTAGGTTCACACCTAGCCGATTTATCTGCGCAAAACAGATTTGCATTCAAGTCTATGGAGCTGTTCACACCTTTCCGATTTTGTAACGTGGTAGAAATTGCCTGTTGTGCAAAAAAGGTGAAGAAGCTATTTTTGGGCGGTTGTCGTGCAGTTTGGGTCCCATAGACATATCTCTATGTATTGAAAACCGTGCGGCTTTCAAAGCAAAATTGCGTAAACCAAAAAACGTGCAACAGCCACACAAAAAAACAGCTCGCCAGCTCAATCGCCTAGATGTGAACCTAGCTTGAGTTGTTTCTGTGCTTATGTGGGAGATGCACCTTCATGGGACCATTCTTAGTGGGCACAATAGGCCCTGAAAATGGAAACCCCTAAGGGCCGGTTCATACCACGAAGTCTGCGGTCCAGAGTGGTCGGCCTCTGGAATGCAAGCCGGCCAGCTCCCTGCATTCAGGGGTGGGAGGGGGGCGTGGCGGTGCATTGAAGTCAATGCGTTCCGGTCTCGTGCGATCTGCAAAAATAGTGCTTGCAGCATTTTCAAATCTAATATGTTCATATGTATAAATTATTGCTGATAGTGTGGATCATTGAAAACATTTTGTGCTGATCAGGAGAAAGTTGGCAAATTCAGACAGTGTGAAATTGTCTCGAACATTGGTCTTATGTGTACATTTTTCCTGAGCGCTTCCTTGCCCTGTTTGGAAATGTCTATGAAATGCACACAAGCTGCATTAACTAAACATGAACATGAATGTGCAGACTCCCCACCATTGTGTTTATGAAATGTTTGCTTTGTAGAACCTGTAATCACCTACAGTGTTTCCTGTCTATGCAAACAAATACCAAACGCCTTTTTGTTTTAAATATAATGGTTGATATGTATATAATTTATGTTGTGTTTTTTGTTCTTTGCAGAGCATGAGAAGACAGAGAAATGAAGTTGTTGTGGAACTAAGAAAGGTATATTCCATATGAATACGTTTCCTATTACATTTTTTTTTTTTTATGTAATTTTTGTTTTTTTTGTTGTCTGAACTTTTGGAATCTAGTGAGCTATTAAAATACGGAACATGTTAACCCCCTGATTTAGTATGTAGCAAGTATTCAAGCCTTTGGGTATGCCTGGTGCTTTTAACAAATTGGGTTCATCTGGTAAGCTGTGCTAACAGCATCTTCCCCTTACAACAACTATTAGCTTTGCTGTGTTAAAGCCCAGAGGTTTGTTTACAATAATTTTTGTCGAAGGCCCTTTTAAACACCAGGCTTTGGCACATTAGCATTGGTGGAGTGTTTACTTTCATGGTCCAGTACGGCAAGGCATTTAGAACTACTTTCTGTCCTAGATTTATAGATGGGGGGAGGGGGGGGATCTCTCTTGTAAGTGTTGTCATTGAGCATTCCTTGGAATCGGTTACCAGGAAGTATTGGGTTTTATTTATAACATTTCCACTACCAGAAGAATGCTTTCATTCTTCCTTTTTGGGGGGAGGGGGCGGTGTTTCCTTTTAAAGGAGAACCATGGGGTTAGGGCTTTTCCCCCATAGTAACGGGAGGACAAGCTAGCGTCCTCCCGTCACCCTAAGCTCAGTATACCGCGAGCGGTAGCTTAAAGCTCGCGGTATACTGAGACGCCGCAGCTGAAACGTATCCCGACAATTATGTCTGGATCCGCCCAGCTGCGTGAGTGATGGCTGGCTCTGCCGATCTAGAGGCAGAGCCAGCTGTACCCTCCCCCGTCTGTTCTGCCAGTCAGCGCTGGAGGATCGGAGCGGGGAGGAGGGAATCCAGTCCCTCCCCTGTCACGGCTCTCTGCCGTGACAGGATCGAGAAGTGAGCGAGCGCCAGTATGTGTTCGCTCACTTCCCGATCTACTGAGCCAACCTGTGACGGTCTCATTGTCACAAGTCGGCTAGAACTATGAGGATGAGTGAAAAGCACTCACCTCATAGTTCTCCTTTAATATTGTTTCCCACTTTGTTCTGCTGCCATGTAGGTGACGGTTTTAAAGTTAAACTATAAAGCCCATTGTATTAAAGTGACAATATTTCTTTTTGTATAGAATAAAAGAGACGAGCATTTGTTGAAAAGGAGAAATGTTCCCCAGGAAGATGTCTGTGAGGACTCAGATGTGGATGCAGAATTCAAAGTGGTAAGTTCGAGGAACATAGCGAATGATTGGTTACCAGTTTGTTCTATACTGTGAAAGGGTTAAAATTGCATCATGCCAAGAGGAACATTTTATACTAGCTGTGCTAAAAGCTATTAAATGATTTGATGCAGGCCTTTTTGTTATGGTTTCAGTAGTTTTTTAGGGGATAAATCGATGGGACTAATTTTTTTTTTTGTTTTCTTCTATTTAGCAAAACACCTCTTTGGAAGCAATTGTGCAGGTAATTTATTGTTTGTGTCATTTTCATTTTCAGCATTTGACTTTTTTTTTCTTGTAGTTAACGGTCTCCTCTTGTTTCTAGAATGCATCTAGTGACCACCAAGGCATTCAGCTTAGTGCTGTCCAGGCTGCAAGGTAAAACCTTTGTGTATGAAGAATACAAAGCCCAAAGCAGGTTGTAGATATCACTGAACAGTTGGATGGTTGTGCACGTATGACGCACGCACACGCGTGCGTGCCTTTTTTTAATGCTGTGATCGCATTTTAATTTGCTGTGCTTTGAAATGAATAGCAAAGTACCCGAATAGGCCAATAGTATAACATATCACTCTATTGCTTTTTAAAGTACAAATGATTAATTTGTTTTATTAAATAAAATATTTATACTGAAGCATCAATGTTCTTAAAGAGGAACTTCACCCTTATCTTTAAAATTAAAACAAAGACCCCTTAAGGGCAGGTGCACACCGTTTTCTGCACCAGATCTGGAACGCAGTGCACTGCGTTTTTCCCGTGATTTTGCCACTTTTGGAGTTTTTTAAAAAAATTTTTATTCTTAGCTTAAAATGGTCTTCCAGGTGCATTGCAATGAATTTGTATACGTTCCAGTGCATTCCAGACCAGACAAAATAAGACCAGCAGTATTGGTCTGGTCTGGAACGGACTGCACTGGTGGGAACAGAGACCAGAAATAGCATAGGGATATTTTAGGATGCATTTTGGGTCCGGAAAAAGTCTGGTCTGGAGATGATCCAGACATGGTGTGAATGGGCCTTTAGACATGTTTAGTAATGACAATCTACAAACGCATACTTCTCAATAATTGCCAGCTTTTTATTCCTTGCATACCTTTACATACTTTAGCTGTTGCTTTTTTAACTTACAATGGTTTGCTTATTACAGAAAACTTTTGTCCAGCGATCGGAATCCACCAATTGATGACTTGATTAAATCTGGAATTTTACCCATCTTGGTTCACTGCCTAGAAAGAGATGACAAGTAAGTTTGTTTTTATTCACATCATTTTTAATGATCAAGTACCTGTTTTGGATGCTCATTGCCCATCTTTCTCTCTGCAGCCCTTCTCTCCAGTTTGAAGCTGCTTGGGCTCTGACAAACATTGCTTCAGGAACATCTGAACAGACACAAGCAGTGGTCCAGTCACGTCAGTATATATATTATTTGGCTAAATGGAAATTAAGGTTTTTTTGTCCTGTTTGAATTTCACAGGATTGTTAGAGATGCCCCATTGCACTGTAGACCAACATCTCGCCATGTGTAATAACAATGGGTGCTGAAGTGGCCAGCGGATGGCGTCTCCACGCCAGATCAGCATGGTGTCACAGAATATAGCAACGTTTCCGAGCCCAGTGTGGCCTCTTCATCAGGCAAAGCAGTGACGATTGTGGCAGTCGCATTGTTTTGCCTGACTAAGGGAGTATATCCCTGCTGTAGAATGCAGTTGGCTCTTGCATAATGACAGCAGCAAGCACAGGGACACATTTAAGACTGTTCAGTTCTTTGAGCTGCAACTTGTAACATGGCCTGCATTCATTGTACTGGGTTGCCAAGCATTTCATGGACCCATAGTAATAACTTGGTAAAGTGCACGTGTATGGCATTTATCCTGAAGCATTCCAAGTAACCCGCAGACATTTTATATATTTTTATCGTTAGAACATAGAAAACACATGCAGAAAAATACAATGAAATGTGTTGATCAGAGATTGTTGGTAGTGTCAGATTCTGTAGGTTTTATCAGTGTTTTCTCCAGCAGAGATCAACCACAGAGAAAAGGAGTGTCTTTCTTTTTTTTTGACATTGCATCATCATGCACACACGGAAAATGTTTTGTTACTGTAACATAAAAATGAGATGAAGTTGGGTTTGTGTGGACAAATTAGCATCGCGCAGGATCTTCTTGAATTACTGTGGGTCCCTCTTCCCCTTGCCTGGTGGTCTCCGGTCAGTGGGGTATTTATTTATTCTGCGGTGTAGATTGGATCGCAGGGATGACTCTCTCTTGAGCGTGCGCTCCACTGTTTGGATGTGGTTCGCACTCTTCGTGTTTGGAAGCCACGGCTTCTTTCCGCGAGACCGACTCCCTGTTCGTGCTCACGGAGGGTCCTCGTAAGGGTCGGGCCGCGTCGGCGGCTACCATCTCTAGGTGGATACGTAATGTTGTGACTCAGGCGTACGCCGTTAAGGGGCGTGAGCCTCCATTTCCTGTCACTGCCCATTTTACTGGGGCTGTTGGGGCTTCCTGGGCTTTCCGCCATGGGGCCTCTGTTTCTCAGGTTTGTAAGGCCGCTACTTGGTCTTCTGTTAACACCTTTGTTAAGTTTTACAAGGTGGATGTTTTGGCATCGGCGGATGCTGGTTTGGGGCGCAAAGTGTTGCAGGCGGCTGTTTGAGGTGTCCTTTGGGTGTTTTGTTGTTGTTGCCCATCCCTCAGTGTGTACTGCTTGGTGACGTCCCTACCATTCAGGATCTACGATCTGTTGCCCTGTGTCCTTCAATGAACGGGAGAGAAAATAGGATTTTTGTACTCACCGTAAAATCCTTTTCTCTCCGTTCATTGAAGGACACAGGTCTCGCCCTCTATGTTGGGTGTGTACTCCTAACTGCTTGTTACTTACTGGAGACTTGTCAGCAAGTGAGGGGTTGGGCCACCAGCAGGGGCCGCCCCTAGGCTGTCGTCTTTTTGTTATGTGCCTAGCGTCCTACTCCTGCAGGTGGCGATATACCCCTACCATTCAGGATCTACGATCTGTTGCCCTGTGTCCTTCAATGAACGGAGAGAAAAGGATTTTACGGTGAGTACAAAAATCCTATTTTTCTAAGGTTTACAAACCATAATTATGAATGACGTGCTCTCCACAGAGGGGTTTCTGTGAGCGAGTTGACCTAGCCCTAGGTGTACATGTAGTGTTTGTTAAGACATTGTGGTCACATTTTCCATTTATTTATCAACCTGGCAAACTGCTTATTATAATAGAGCGCAAACCATGGCAAGAATAGCCAGCAATCATACCTGAAGAATCTTGGTGACGTTTTTTAATGGCAAATGCTTCATCCTGCAAAAATAGCCAATTAGAACAGTGTGTTGGCTGGTGCATTCTACAAAAATCCATTAAGGGTCCATTCATGCTATTGCTCTGCATTGGTCTTAGTCCACACACTGCGTAGAAGCCCATTCATCTGAATGTGTCAATTTCAATGCTTGTAGCATTTCTGGCAGTGCAGCACATGTTGTACTGCAACACTTGTCTGTCTGCAATGTCTGAGTGCCATTCAGAATGATGGCACCGCCTAGCACCCATGCATGTAACATGCAGTGCTGTAATGCTATCATTGATTCAGCCCAATAGTGTAAATGGGAACTTGTTTAGGTTTTTTTTTTAAGTATATCTAAAGCTAAAACTTTTCTCTTAGTTTTAACAGTAGTGAGGAGTTGAAACCACTGTCGGGTTTTTATTACTGTCTGTGTCCCCCATTTGGAAGCTTCCCCCTCTCTATTTGCCGTTCACTGTTTTCAGTGGGACTGAAAGTGAGGGGAAAATTTAAAATTGTTGTCACTGGAGCAGGAATAGGGAGGAAATCTTTCAGTTGGTACACTTGCTCCAGTCACATCTAGGAGGAGATTTCGCTCACTTCCCATTGTCTACAGGACTTGTCTACAGGACAGGAAGTAATGGGAAACAGATGGCAAAAATGCTCCCTCCAAAATGCAAGGGAAAAGTGTTGGCTTTAGAGTTCTTAAGTGTGTCAGTATTATAATTTTTGGTTTAATTTTTATCTCACCCCTCGTGTGTTGACCGGTTATGAATCATATGTATCAATAACATTCCATCTTTTCCTGCAAGCAGGCTTTAGCTGTAGCCAATGATAATGGATGTTTGTGCATATGTAATGAATACTATTCTCACATCAGTTTATATTTTCTCTTTTAGATGCTGTTCCTCTTTTCTTGAGGCTTCTGCATTCTCCTCATCAGAATGTATGTGAGCAAGCTGTGTGGGCACTGGGAAATATAATCGGTAAATGTTCTGCTTTTCCTTTGTGTCTTGATCTACTGTCTATTATATTTTTGTTTTACTCTTGTATCTAAAGGAATACATTTCCTGTCATTGTGAACAGGTGATGGGCCTCAGTGTCGGGATTATGTAATCAGCCTTGGAGTGGTCAAGCCTTTGCTGTCATTCATCAGTCCCACTATTCCCATTACTTTCTTGAGAAATGTCACCTGGGTAATGGTAAATCTGTGTCGCCATAAAGATCCTCCTCCACCTATGGAAACCATACAAGAGGTAAGCACAATTTATGCAGAACGGTTTTGCTCTTGGAAATGATTACATGGAGGTATCAGGGTGTTGTGAGAATGAGTCATTAGTGTTATTTGTATATATAGTCATAAGTATTGTATACGTATGTAAAGTTAGGATTAAGTGTGAGCGTTGGTGTGTATGTTGGGTGACTCTGAAATTAAACTACATTGCTGATTTCGGAGTGCATCTGAGGACTGTTGCAAGCTGTAATGGTTTTCATGCAGCAATTCCGGTGATTATGGCCTCTTGTTGGGTCTCCTTGATAACCTTTTACACCCTAAATCTCTGACAGATTGCTTTCTATTGTGTATCTGTGATCTGACCAAAGAGCATCCACTTCATTTATGTTCGAATGTCTTTTTAAAATCGTAAGCAATTGTTTTATTTGGCAATCTATCTTTTTACAGATTCTTCCAGCGCTGTGTGTCCTTATCCACCACACAGATGTAAATGTAAGTATCTGAAGAGGTGTATTTATTATTTATTCATCCCCTAGATTCTCCTTGGTGTCTTCATTGTATCATTTCTCACCAGTTTGCACATGACTATTAGAGATAATTAGTTCTCAGAAGCTAAGGCAGGAGAAATATTGGACTTCTATAATGCTCAATCACACAATGTTAGCTTTGCTGTAGAACAGGATGGCCCTGACTTTCCTTGTGGTGGGATGTCTTATCAGTCCTTAGTGAGGCTTCAGTAAACCCTTCCTGAGACAAACAGGCTGCTATTGCTGACAACCTATTCTGCAAATGCTATAGGTCTGACTACCGTGCTTACCCTGTGGCTTTCATAATTTTGAGTCTCTGATCTGGAAAGTGTATGCAGACCAGGATTTGTGACTTTACACTGACATTGATGATGGATCAGCATAATAGCCAAGCAATTAGCATTTTCAGCAGTTGGTGAGTAATGGCAGCCCCCAGATTTACTTTTACAGTACATGTAAACTCATGGTGCAAACTTGATGTAAAGACACCTTGAATGAACTTGAGTCACCAAAAGTAATTTTATATAGTAAACATTTTTAACACTTAAGCATCCTCATTTTTCTATGCCTAGATCCTGGTAGACACTGTGTGGGCTCTTTCCTATTTAACGGATGCTGGTAATGAACAAATTCAGATGGTGATTGACTCTGGAATTGTGACAAACCTGGTTCCTCTTCTAAGTAACCCAGAGGTGAAAGTGCAGGTAAGTTTTACTAAGAAAATGCAAAACACATTGTTTTAAAGTATTTCAGCAATCCTGAATAACTCGCTGCTTTCCTTCCCTCCAGACTGCTGCTTTAAGGGCTGTAGGAAACATTGTCACCGGCACGGATGAACAGACGCAAGTTGTTTTGAACTGTGATGCTCTGTGTCACTTCCCAGCCTTGCTTACTCACGTAAAGGAAAAGATTAACAAGGTAAGTGAGCACAGTGGCTAAGCGGTTAGCACTTCTGCCTTGCAGCACTGGGGATCCCTGATTTTAAATCCCAGTTAGGACACTCTCTGCAAGAAGTTTGCATGTTCTCCCTGTGCTTGCATGGGTTTCCTTTGGGTACTCTGGTTTCCTCCCACACGCCAAAGACCTGCTGGTAGGTTAATAGGCTCCTGTCTAAATCAGCCCTTTGTGTGTGTGAGATGGGGACCTTAGATTGTAAGCTCCTTGAGGGCAGGGACTGATGGGAATGTGCACTATCTAAAGCTCTGCGTAAATTGTCGGCGCTTTATAAATACCTGTAATTCTGGCCTTCTGTACATGCGTGTACATTATTGGCATTAATCAAGAGTACATTTTCATTTCCCTGCTAAGGCCTTGAACACAGAAGGTCTCTTCTTGCATGTTTCCTTCCTGTCTTTTACTATGCCATTTAGTCAGCGCATCTTATTGTGACTATTTGGTTTCTTTAAGGGCATTTTTAGTGAAGGAATATTTGCTAACATTACTTTTATTGCTACCATCCTGGATGTGAGGGTTGAAATTGAGTGACATACCTTTTTACCAATTTTCTGAATATACACATATACATCAATGAAATGGGAGTTCACCCTTCCTAAAGTTTGTTTTTTTTGGGGGGAGGGGTTATTAATGGTTTATTACTTTGTATCCTACTGACATTTCTTGATTTAGTATGGGCTAACATAAATGTATATATTGCAGGAGGCAGTGTGGTTTTTGTCCAACATTACTGCAGGAAACCAACAACAAGTTCAAGCTGTTATTGATGCCAACCTTGTGCCAATGATCATTCATCTATTGGATAAGGTATGCTATTGCTAGTATTGCTTCACCTTCTGACCCTTTTATTTAATTTGTATTTATTTTGCTAAAGCAGCCCTAACATGAAATATTTTGATTTTATCATTCAGGGTGATTTTGGAACACAGAAGGAGGCTGCTTGGGCAATAAGCAATTTAACGATCAGTGGAAGGAAAGATCAAGTGAGTGACCTCCCACCATACATTTTTTTTTTTTCCCTGATCATTTCCTAACCTCTCTTGTGACTCAAGTTTATAAAATCTGAAGACTGTTGACTTGTATGCGCTATTTCTACATCGTGCACAGCTGCTGGTAATACAGGCTTTGTATTGATTAGAACAGTGTTAGAAATGAGCTCCAAGGTGGCCTTTCCAATGAGCTCTGTGTTTCTCGTGTATGAAATCTCAAAGTAAAGTTGTTTGTAAGAATGTGAATGTAAGACTAAAATGTCTTGTGAATGGGATATACAGGCAGATATTTTTTCAGGAGCTTCATAAATTTATCTTGTGTAATCATGAAGCATTTTTTTTAAGCTAAGAATCAAATCATTGTATTGTAAAACTTTTTGGACAGGATAAATCCTTATCAAGATGATTTGCAACATGTCATTTTCCCAAATATTTACATTGTTGTCAATGTAGTAGGACTATAGTTCAAGGATAGCAGAGAAAGTGTAGTCCTTTCTAAGTAAAATGTAACCAAATCAGCAGATGAGCAATGCCTTTCAGTCAGCTTGATGCGGTCTGTGCTTTGACATTGTGATTCCTCCTTTCTTGTAGGTGGCATATCTCATCCAACAGAATGTAATTCCTCCGTTCTGCAATCTGTTGACTGTAAAAGATGCCCAGGTCATACAAGTAGTGTTGGACGGGTTAAGCAACATATTAAAAATGGCGGATGATGAGGCTGAGACCATAGCCAACCTTATTGAAGAGTGTGGAGGTATGAAATGCACACAAACTGTGTTTGTTACAAAAACAAGTTGTTATATATTTGAAGTAATTCTGTACTCCTGCTGGCTTGGCCGAAATTCAACCAATGTTTTATCCCATGGGCACCCCTTCAGCAAAATTCGATTTTTTTTTTTTTTTAAATACTCGTGTTGAGGGAGCTGAAAATTCTTGCCCAAACAGGGACTGATGATTTTATATACATATGGGTGTTTACTTAGACTTTTTGCTCTTGGTTAGTTGTGGAGAAGTATAGAATGTATTTTTTTGTTATGAATATACTGTTTTTAAAACACTTTTGCCTTTTTAAACAGGTCTGGAAAAAATTGAACAGCTGCAAAGCCATGAGAATGAAGATATCTACAAACTGGCTTTTGAAATAATTGACCAGTTTTTCTCATCAGATGTAAGTTCAATGCCAGATGCTAAAATGGGAAATTTTAACTAGCCAAGTGCACAAAGAAAACGCTGTCTATGCACAACGTTTTTTTTCATACAAGTTAAACTGCAGTCAAGCAGCTTTTGATTGCAAAACTACTAAATGAATGCAAACCATAACCAACGTATCATAGCTATATGCATAAGGCATATAGTAGCTGTGTAGACTGCCGCTCCATGATCCCAGAGTGGTTAGTCACATGGCATTTGCAGTGGGGGTGTGGTCTGAGTTCAAATTGGCTGAACTTCCCCTCGAGCAGAGACCATGTGACTGAATTTCTAGGCATTTGGATATGTTGGCGGGTCCCGTGGGAGTGAGAAGCAGTGGGTTGTTTTTTGTTTTTGCTTTGGGTTCTTGCTACTGCTTCAGTTTAAAGTGCACGTTCATACTTCTCCCTGCATCCTGCTTAAGTGTCGATTGCTAGGGTACCTGTTTGCCGACACCGGAACCTCCATCCTGGAAACGGTCTGTTTCATATTCTTGCAGCAGCTTCCCTCACTAGCTAGCACTAGGGCGATGGTCATCCTGAGCTGGTGGAGACATAGTTTGAACAGAGGAACCGTGCATGGTTTTTGCTAGTTTCGTGAAGATTTATGTGGGACAACTTGGTGGGAAGAGGTTTTCGGACAAAACTGTTTTCTTGTACTTTATCATTTGATTTTGTAAGGATACTAGATGGCGTGGTATGTGTCCAGGAATGCAGATGTCAGTGGTGGTATGCTGGGTTGTGTGTGGTCTATGCTGAAGTGCAAAAATTGGTGGTATGGTTGCTTTGTGCAATGAAATAATTCATTGGTCTTTCTCCTGCATGACATTTGCTGCGTGTCATGGAAATGTGAGTGCTGTGTATTAGTCTGACAACCTTTTCTTATCACAGATGAACATTATTTGTTACATCAATAATCTTTAACATTTTAATAAAATTCCATCAGCTAGACAACCTTTGGCTTGGTGCATAATATAAGGCAATCTTTGAAGGTACTCACCCCCTACTATGGGGTTGGTAACCCTGTAGTACAGAGTTTATACTGTTTTTTAACTGATATTTTAAATGTGATATTAACATCTATGTATTTTTTTTGGCAGATTGATGAAGATGCTAGCCTTGTTCCAGAGACAATACAAGGTGGAACATTCAATTTCAATTCGTCTGCCAATGTGCCAGCAGAAGGGTTCCATTTCTAGGAAGATTTGTTGGAAGTTAGGTACAGTGCAGCACTGAAAACTGGTTTGATCCATCAAGCTTGGCTCATGGGATCTGCTGCTGCATTAAATCGGAGACAGAAATGTGCGGACTTCATTTGGATGACAGTAAAGACCAAATGATGTCACGATGGCGAGTGGGTGCGAGTGAGAATGAATGGCAAATGTAATGAAAACTTCACACCGAATGCTTATATAGGTTGTGCAGAGGAAAAGGGCTACAGGTCAAAGATCTTCAGTGCCTGAAAGGGATCATTGATCTTACAGAGCAAATGAGGAAAATGCAGTACTCATCATCAAGCCTTGTAAGCATAAAAAGAAACCTAAGGGTAGGATGCCCACATAAGTCCAAGGAGAATAAGCCCAGGCCTTGCTAAGAAGCTCCGTATGAATGGACAGCATTGAATGAATGTCTGGACACAGTGTTGTGGAGCCAGGCTCATCTTACGAACGTGAGGCTATTCACTCATGAAGCAGACTCCCAGTCCAGGAGTGGCGTGTGTACGAGAGTATGGGTGTGGTGCTGTATGTTGACGCATGCAAGCTTGAATCGCCTTCAGGGGGATGATACTAAACCTAGAAAATCACAATAAGTTCATAAGTGTTACCTTACACTGGACATGAAAACAAAGACCAGTATAGCAGCAGATTTTGGTTTACTCCTACAGCCTGTGTGCTTTCTTTTTACTTTACCTCTTCTTTTTTCCCCCCCCTTTTTTTTTTTTTTAGTTTCTTTTATTTTAGTTTCTAACTTGTATGGCTTGTAATTTTAAGTTGCTTATACATCAGAGTTGGAAAAGGCAACCCTGTGCATTTGCACCAGATAATATGGTTGTTATGCAGCCTGTTCCATATCATGATAGCTGATTTTTGTGTACAGGGATTAGCAAAAAAGAACAGAATTGTCCCTTTTTGTAAACATTTTTTTTTCTCCCCCCTCAGTACAGGAGTTGCCGTACGTGAAAGTGTAGAGCGGCGTAACGAGTGGTTTGAACGAAGCAATCCTTTCGTTCCTTTTCAAATCTAACAATCTATTTTGCATGTGGAAATGGACAGCATAGTTTATTTCTAGATCCATTTTGTTCAGTCCTGTACAGATTGTTTCAGTTTTGGTAGAAGCTGTGCTGTATTCCAACCCTATTTGTTTTCAGACGTTTGTTTTCTATGAAAATGATATGGAAACCCACAATGGTATTTGGTGCATATGTACTGCTACATTCAGACAATGAAGAGGTGTGATTATCTGTATAAACTGATTCATGCTTTCACCACCTTTACTCTGCCTAGGCAGTCTGTTTTAGAATCGTTTTATCTTTAGATGTAGGCAGCCATGAACAATCTATTTTGAGCCACTTTAGGGAGAAGAACTTTGTAATTTTTTAAAACTTGCATTGGCCATACGGATGCAAGTGTCGTTTTTTTTTAATTGGCAGAATGCCTCTTTCGGAGGTGATGCACACTAAATTAAAAGCAACATAAATGTATTTGTATAAATAGCAGAACTCCTTTTATAAGGTGGCTCATTGTAGGAATTGCTGTGCCTTCCCCTTGAGCACAAGTGTTGCATGAACAACAAGTTGCTATAATAAAACATACCAAGTTAGCTACCATGAGCATCAATATCTTTTTTTTTTTGTGTTTAAAGTTAACTGGTAATTCTGAAACACTGTAGAATGGATACAAATTATTTTGTGATTATAACTTTGTTGGATTAGAATATTTTTGCAGCATTCCTTGTCATCTGAAACATGGTTTAAAGTTTAAAACTAGATACGAAAAAAAGAATCAGCTTGTATAATATAGTAGAAGACGAGCTAGGCTGTCATGGGGAAATAAAGAGTAATCCTTACGATAAGCTTTTGTCCTATTTATTTTCTTCCTCTTATATTAGACCGTTAATGTATAGATGATCTGTATATATTGTATGGATTACATATCTTCATGGAGTACCAACCTGTTTAGTGCCATTTAGTACTGCTTTATTACTTGGGATGTTCAGATACCAAGTACTGTACTCGGCACACGTACATATACTTTTCCAGCTCCAAGACTAGACTAGAGAAACTCAAAAGTTAGGAAGCAGCTGTCATTTGTAAGGAGCATTTGCAGCTCCTGGGATTTGTGCATCCCCATTTTAATGAGATATATAGATCAATCTATCGCACCAATACCATATTTCCAAGGACTGATACGTGTCCCAAGTACTCACAGATACAGGTACTGATGCACTTTTTTTTGTCATGACAGTTTTTTTTATAACAATACAGACTAATGATTTCGGGACAGCGGTGGAGTGCCAGAGCCAGGTCCCAGCTGCAACCCTGGTAGTTCTCCAAGTATCGGCACTGGTATCTGGACATCCCTATTTATTACCCAGTCCACAAATATGATTTCCATTATATGTTAATATGAGGATGATTTCAGCTTTGCGTGTTTCTATAAGGAAATGGGGAATAGAGCAGATAATTACCACTCAGGGAAAATAAAATGCAAACACATGGATACTGAAATTACCTAATTAAACCATAGGCAAAGCCAGTTCTAACTTACTTTGGGCAGCCTCTGCCAACTCGTTTGGCAACCACCATTTTACACATCATTAATGCCAAATTTGCTAATGCGGTGACATTGTGCAAAGCTCTTAAAGGGAGTCTGACAGCAAAAACTGATGTTCTCTGATTCCTGAGCTGGACAGTGATGGTGAGGTGGAGTAGGTTCATCTGCAGTGTCCTAGAGCTTTATCTAAGGTTTCTTACTGTTTTTACAGTGCAATTGTTTCCCTGTAAAACAGAAAAGAATGTAAATGTTTTGCAACAACCATCATGCCAGCTGCTCTCTAGCAATGTAACAAACAAGCAGATTCTGAAATAGAATACTTCCAACTAAATTGTTTTATGAATCTATATGACATCACTGGTTGATTATGGTGTACCAAATGCATGTTTTTGCACTGGAGGTGATTGGACAAGGTATCCTGACCATGTCTGATTACTTTCATCCCAAATTTGATGACCTGTAGAGATTGGGTCATCTATTACCTTTATGTTCCTGGACATTATTAGGCAAAAAAAGCTGGTTACATTGCAAGCTGTCCAATAGCTTGCGGTCAATAATACTTCTACGTAGATTACTACCTAAGTCGCACTTAAAAGTGGACCCTTACTCACTGTGTTAAGTGTTGCTAGGGTGGATAGGGCTTGAATGCTCTGTAAACATGGCTCCCTCAAGTGTTAACTACATTACCATATGGCTAGTCATTTGGCCACAGGATCTCTGTGTGGGGAGTTTAGATAGGCCGGGTAATATCACCAAAGGCCTAGGAATGTGGTCGTTCCAGCACAAAGGAAACTGAAGCAACATTTTTCTTCAGGCAAGGGGGACAATGCCAGTCCTTATTTCATTATTTATACTTTCTACAAGACTAGTAACTGCTTTATAATGACCATGAAGTGAAGAAAATGTAACTTGAATACCTCCCCTCTAGGTGCCTCTGTCTGCTTAATTCTTTGATTTGGCATTTAGGATGCCCTTGTGCACTGGTTTGCAAATGCTGACTAGATTCCCAATTTGCGAGCCTGGCTCATCTTCTCCGAGCTCTCTATACAAATCTGGTCAATATTGGGTTAACTGGGAATTAAGGGTTCCCCAATTGCTAAATCAAAGCACCGGCTTGACATATAGGTACCTAGAAATGAGCATCGTACCAGCGGCAGTTGAGGTTTTTTTTACATCGGAGTATAGGCTTGTAAAATGGAAAAACTGCTCTGGTTCATTTGTGATGGATTACAATTTCATGTTTAGTTTTCTAATTTGTATTGGGATTATAGTCCATCACAGGAGTGATCTTGGAGCGGTGACTACCTTACAAACACACACACAGGGACCATAGAGAAAAAAAATAGCCACCCTCCAGAATTAAGGTCAGTTTCAGCACCAATTCAGAGATGATTGGAGGATCTAAAGTGGAGTGATACACAAATCAGATACATTCTTGTTAGGGTGCTTGAATGCCTTTTTAAGATTTAACTCCTGAGTTATAATATATTTTAATTCTGCCTCTGAATTTTCCTCCATATGGCATAGCTGTTTACTGTGGTATGGCAATGTTCTGGGCAAAGCCACAATTATGCAGAAAGGGGCTTTTAAAAAAAATTGCATAAATCTCTGCAGAGAAATAACCTAGAACTATGCAGTGTATATACAGACTGCTAGATTAGAGGTCATTTCAGGGAACCTGTCGGAATGGCTACGATTACCCATTTCTTGGAAGTAGTGTTGTAGGCCAGTGTAAACCTGTGCTGCGCCTTAACACCAGCAAACTATAGATTTTTTGTGTGGCTTCCGGTATTGGGAGCTTTGGCTGTGCCACTTGTCAAGATCTTACCAAAGAAGGTCCACACACACAATTTGACACTTCCAGGCGTGACAGTCTTTTGAGTCTCCCACAGCTGTCACTTTTTCCTCTGGCTGACCTCCATCAATTATTCTCTAATAGGTGGAGGTCAGAGGGAGGAACTGGTGAGAGCAGCAGGGGACCCAGAAGTCTGTTTCCCTGCAGATTTATAAAACTGTCACAGCATTGGAGCAAAGTTCAGAAGTATGGGGAGAGGGAAAGAAAGTAATGTATATTTTTATTGGCTATCAATTGTATGGGGGCGTGTTCAAATTTAAAGAGCTTTTGGGTTCCAAAAGAAAAACTTTCCTTTTTAAGGAAGTTTAGTTTTCATGTTTTGTCCCTTTTTCTAAAAGCAGGCTTTTAACAAACAATGACTTTAGGTCCACTGCTTCCATAATAAAAGGACCTCCAATACCCGTTTGCTAGAGCAGCCTGCCTCTGGGTTCAGTTTGATGCTTCACCTCTGACATTTGTGCATCCCCACTGTGGCCAAGAGCAAGTTGTGTGGGGCACAGGAATCTAGTCAGTACCACTGCCTCGCATAGATTTTGCCCTTGGAGAAGCAGAGAAAAAATGGCTGAGTATTTCAGGGACCTTTTTTTAAGGCCTAAAGGTGATCGGGAGGGGTGGGGGGGTCTATGCTGACTGCTCAGGAAACTTTTACTGAGCTAGCCAGTGTGTTTTTCAGAGGTCAGAAATGGCAGCCTTTATGTCTAATGCAGGGGTCTCAAACCTCCGGCCCTCCAGCTGTGGTGGAACTACAAATCCCATGAGGCATTGCAAGATTCTCACAGCCACAGACATGACTCCCGAAGAGATGCATCATGAGATTTGTAGTTTCACCACAGCTGGAGGGCCGGAGGTTTGAGACCCCTGGTCTAATGACCTCAATACTTTGAATTACTGGCCCCATAAAAACAAAAAATGTACAGAACTGGATTTTGGAGTTCACGTGTACTTTCCTGATATGCATGCTTATTCTACGTCTGTGACTCTGTACTGAAGCCAGCATACTTTTTTTAGAAGGATGTCAATGGCAGCCTCTCCATATTTCTCTCAGTATAGTTTTTAATTAAAGTGAGTTAAAGTATTCAAGTACATTAATTTGTGTATCGGACACTGTCCTTCCTTCTGGAGGGTGGCTACTTTTGTTCCCCATGGTCCCTGTGTGTGTTGTAAAGTAGCCACCGCTCCAAGCTCGCTCCCATAATGGACTACAATCTCACGTTTTAGTCCATCGCGGGAGTGAGCTTTGAGCAGTGACTACTCTTCAACACACAGGGACCACGGAGAACAAGTGAAGCCACCCTCCAGAAGGAAGGAACGTATCAGCACCAATTTAGAGGTAATTTGAGGTTCTACAGCTGATGCACAAATAAGAAACTTTTGTTTAATAGTTATGGTCACTTAAAAACCTTTCTACAATCGGCATGTGTAACTCTAGCCATGTACCATGAACCCTTTCTGTTCCAGGCTCAATAACCAATGCCATGTATAAATCAACTACCTATAAACTGTTCTCAATAAACACCTGGGTCAGAACTGTGTGGGAAATAAAGAGAGAAAACAAGTTTACACCTAAAGAATAACTTGCTTGCTAATCAAATATGAAATGGTTGGTTCTAAATCTGTATAGAAAAAGTGAAATAAACCACATGAACAGGCCAATTTCCAGTGACCCAAGATCTAAAGCTGATGTGGTTTTTACAACAAATTAAACAGAAAAGGAACTCATGTCTATTCTAGTTGTAAGGGAAGGCGAAGCCTCTGGCACCCTGTGTTTTAAAGAGTGGAGGGAAGGAAGATTGTTGCCTACATCAATCCTATTCCAGCTTTCATTTAGAAAATGAAAGAAATTCCTAATTGGCTGCAAAGCCTCTGGGTTTTCCTTCCCTCCATCTTTTACACGGGAGGCCCCTTGTGATGTACATTCCTCAGTGGTTATTGAAAGAACTTTTAGCTGCGTCTCATCAGCTCATCACGGAGATTGTTGATCAACTTGTCTTGAAAGAAAAATGAAAACGTAAAATAACACTTCTGATGTAAAGGAATTGTGTGAATATGTAGAAAACATGACCCCCCCTCCCCCCTTTAGTGCATGTGTAGTAGATTCCTTCCCTTTTTAATGAAAGTGACCTAAGTCATCTTAAGGGAAGCCTGTACTGAGAGGATAACAAAGCCAACCACTGCAGATCTCTTAAGAATTAGTTGCTGACCTTGACCCAGTATGTGAGTTAGTAAGAACTCCGGATCTACATACATGTTCTGGGCGTGTAACTCAAAGTACTGACACCAATGGATTAGCATGACAGCCAAGTAACAAATATTTTCAGAAAGAGATCAATAATGACGGCCCTCATATTCTCTCAGTAAAGGTTTTCTTTAACCAGTATAGTGTAATAAGTGTTTATAGGTTTTTGGGTTTTTTTTTAATGTTAAAACAACGTTTTAGGCAG